AGTGTTGCAGGCATTGTATCAATATTCAGCACATAATAAAAAACTTTGGATTAAATTATGGCAAAAAAGACTTGCACTCTTGGCACCAGTACTTTTTTCTATTGAATCAAATTTTACTAAACATCCAATTAATCAGGCAAGTGTATTAGCAAGAATAATGATTTAATATAGGATTAGGAAAGATAATTATTGGCAAACAATTATATAATGACTGAGTAACTGAATTCATTAAAAAAAAGCGAATTAAATAAATTCAATATTTATAACTACAACAACAATGTACGTGGATAATTTTCAAAACATTGTTGGTAAACAATTATATAATGACTGAGTAACTGAATTCATTTAAAAAAAAGCAATTTAAATAAATTCAATATTTACAACTACGACAACAATGTACGTGGATAATTTTCAAAAAATTTCGGTCTCATGACCTTAAGTATTTTTAATTACTGAAATAAAATTCGAAATAACATTTGAAAGCATCCAAAGTAATTTGCTATACGTTTTTAAGAAATTTAAATTCAAAAATTATGTTATTTTAAGTATAATGTCAGTGTAATAACTTATTAATATGTCACATACAGCTTTTCCCTTTGCTTTGCTGCAGTTAATGGAAAACAATCTGTTTTTTTACCTAGATGTGGAAATTATGTTTTATTTAACATGCAGAACAGCATGAACCTCGAGAACCCTCGAGTACTTATTTTTTTAGGTAAGGTAGTCATTTAAAAATTTCCATTATATTCGGTTTATTCTAAGAAACTAAAGCTTTGGCAGACTAGGGATATATTTATGTAAATTTTCACGTCACTGATTTAAAATCTGCAATTGATTTCTCTCTAAAAGTGACAGATTCTTAATGGTATTTTTTGGTCTATTTTTTATCGAAATAATGTACAAGTTTAAAAACGTTATAGATAACAGGGGATCACATAAATGTGGCAAAAAAATTCTAAGGGAGTTAAGGTACATCTTCAGGATAATTGCATAAGAACTCATGCCTGTAATCTTCGACATGCGCATTTTAAGGGTGCTTCCCTATAATGAACTGTTACTTCGTGTACTTCTGATAATAGGGAAGTGCTCCAAGCTTCATGCAGTGACATTTCCGGAATATTACGCAATATTAATTCCTACGTATATGTATGAATATTAATTCTGATGATGTTCCCTAACTCCTCTAAATGTTTGCCACAAAATATATGCAACAACTAATATATATATATATAACATTTTTAAACTTTTTACTACATTACTTACATTTTTAAACTACATTTCAACAAAAAATTAGAAAAAAAATTTAATTCAACAAAAATCTGGAAAACTAATTTCAGATTCAAAATCCCCACACACAAATTAGTCTAGATTGAATGTATATATAAATGCAACAAAAAACTTGTCCCGCATTGTTATGTGAACTTAAAAAAAAAAGAATATGTTTGAAAGCTTCTCGCAATGAAATATAATTCTAAACGTAGTCGTGCATAATATATAACTCTTACATAAATCCTTTTATAACCTGACTTTTGGAGCAGTTAAAACAATGTGTTAAAGCTTATTCAAATTTATTAAAACACAAAAAATATTAATATTTTCTTTCTTTAACTTCTGAGTAATGTAATAGTTCCTATAACAATTCAATAAAATACAGTACTTCAATAAATTATTCAAAGCCCAATGTATAAAATATTAGTTTTAAAAGCTGATTAGTAAACTTTATACATCGATCAAAACAAAGCAATTAAAAGTCAAAACTGGGACATTCTTAACTTAGATTTTAAACAATTTATATCTGGTTTCTAGAGCATATAAGGTTGTACCTCAAATATATGTACCGCGTTTTCTTACTGATGCATAACTTTAATCAACATTGAATAGCATACGCAAAAGCTTTAAAAGATGAATCAGAGAAGCCTTATTGAAACTATGGCGTCAAGTCCTAAAGTGCACTTTGTAATTTAAACTGCAACGCTTTGTTGGAAGTGTGTCGATCGGAATTCTAATAGAGCACATATACGTGATTGAGACCTTCAATTTGAATGAATCCTCCGTGGCGCATGCACATCACGTATCCGTAATCAATCTTCTAGTCACTTTACAGAGATGGACTGTTATTACCAATTAATATATCCATCCTCACTGGGAATGCCCATTAGATAAAGTTAAGTAACTAGTGAAACTTTGTTTCATCTAGCTTAAAAGATATTTTTTTAATTAAATAAGTAGACATTTTATTTCTTAGAATTCCGATAAATTAAATTTTAAAAAAATGAAGCGAGAAATATTTTTTTACCTTTCTCTATTTCTCCCTTCTTTTACTATTTTTTAAATCACGCACTGAAAAATACGGTATAAAGTTTAGGTTCACTACCCGTAAAATCCATTTTATCGTAAGAAACTATTTCATCTTAAAATCAATTTTTATGGTTAAATATTACATTGAATTCTTATAATAATATTTATTTAATTAGAGTGATTCAGTGATTTTACCAAAAATATTACTATAAAAATTATAGCAAGTAAGTATTTTTTATTTAATATGTTCCAATAAAAATGAATTTTAGGGTAAAAAGTACTGGCATCCTGAGTATCAGTACCTTTTATCGTAATTTGATACGGGATTTCTAACAGTGCACGTATTTCAGTAAATTTATGAACGGTTATGCTATCATATTTTGTCACATTAATTGTCTTATGCATTTTGTTACAAATCAATTTTTGTGGATTCTTAAGAGACAAACAAACTTCTATCTAAATTATTTTCTACAATATTTATACACTCTTTTAAAAATCATACAAACTGGTTTAAATATGCTATTTAAATGCTTAAAATGGAATGCTATTGGCTTCATAGGTGCACTAAATATTTCACTGAATCATAACATCAAAACTGGTGGCAACTTCTTTAAAACTAAGTGTTGTTCAACTAATTATTTCATTACAGCAATACCCCCAAAAATAGTTCCTGGTAATGGAAAGCACATAGAATGTTATTTTACAAAAGTAGCCTCCACCAATCGCCATGTTTGTTATACAGTAACACTAAATTCATACTTTCAGTAAGATATGATACACGAAGGAACCAGTCAAATTATTTTTACTAGACATTATAAAGTATGAATTCGTAATTTAGGTTGCGTGCATAAATTGATTTTTAAAGCAGAATGAGTATGTAAATAAAATATATGGGTAGCAGAGAAAATATTTAGATGAATTTTAACTAGGCTTAACAGAGCAGGTACTGATATAAATTATACGTTATAAAACTATTTAGACAGCTTACAGTTTAAGACGGTTAAAAAGTTTTAATACAGTTAAAATTAAAATCTAAGAAATCTTATTACAGAACTAAAAACATACATGCTACTCAAAATATACATAAATTTAACGCCGAACTTCAGTTTCTTCGTATGTAAAGCAACATTGAAGAAATTCGCGAACGTTCTCTAATTCATTGTCGACAGTAAATGATGACAGACGAAATCAAAACGTGATAACGTTGGAGAATGTGATATGCAAAAACAAAATAGTCAATGTTTAGAGAAAAGGCGAGTATACTTGGTGTAAAAAAATTGCATTCTGAGTGTTTAAAATATTCATACACCCTTTAAAATTTATATGAAAGCTCGATTTGGTGTTAAAAAAAGTGTTCCTTTGCATAATTTTCAGAGATGTTCAACAACAAATTCGGAGAGATATTAAATAACTGCTTTTTAAGCAGATAAGTACTTTTAATTTGCAAACAAGCTGTGTGACTTCTTTTTGTAAAAAAAAGAAAAAAACTCTCTGAAATAACTATTTATTTTATTAAGGTTTGTGAGAGCTGCGAGAAGACTTTGTACAACCAGTCAGTGCTGTGACTTGAACCTGGGTCACCTATTTGGGAGCAGAGGGCTCTCTCCTTGGAGCTACCGAAGTTGCAGTTTTCCATGCGAAAAAAATTCTTAAACTGTATTCATCTGAAAGTCTTATTGAAATAATATTGAATTGTAAGAACATTTAAGACTATAGAGTGACCCAGCCCTATAATATTTTTTGGTAACTTAGCTCACTAAAAATATACATAAGGAAACATAGTAATCCTACTGAGCATTTTGACAATTAACTCGATTCGCAGTTTTACTTATACTATGTTTAAAACCGTAAAATAATTCCAGAAAGTGGAAAGTAATTTTAAAATTATTTGAAAAAAAATAAATTTAATGCAGGGTAAGAAAAAATGAACGGCGAAACTGGTATTTGAACAATTTAATCAATTTTTATGCATTTTTCTTTAAACTGTTTTTTTTTTCTGTTAAAAATATTATTTTTTTTTTCTTGTGGACTACACGATTATTTTTTTACTTGTATAATTAAAAATAATACTATTTCCAGTAACTTTCATGTTACAAGATATTGTGATATGAGGAATATTATATATCTAATTAGAATTTTTTGATTAGTGGAACTTCAAAACAAAATAGTAAGGTTATTCAATCATGATACATTCTTTTTTTAAAAAAAGGATAATAAAATCATCAACATGGCAAAATCAATTACTATAGGCTCAAAATTCATCCATATAAGAAAACATATAATAAGAAGGAATCGTTTTTATAAAGGAATATCCATCCAGATTATGTTTAACATTATACATCTGGCAAGGCATGCAATTTTCGAAAATTGAATTTCACAAACATATGAATATTCATTACAGTTCTTTTTTTCGCACATAAATAGTTTAACAACTTATTTTGCCGGAGGATTTCCTGAAATAATATCAAAAAAGAAAAACATTTACGTTAGAATGGTTCGATCGTAAAGGCGTAGTACAATCTTCAATACGCCAATTTCAAGAGCAACTTTATTTCAGTTGAAACAATTTTTACTCGCATGCCTTCTCTTCTGTTATGAAGAAATAGCCCTTCGTATTTCCGAACGGCCACAAATCTGTTCAATAATTCACTGGATGAAAGTGATAAAATAAGAACTTATATCGAAAAATTACGTTCACTTACGAATATCTTGGTACGGGATACCCTTGGGCTGCGCAGGGAAGCTCTACTGTATGGCCTACTTCAGTTTCTATTTTGGGCTGACTGTGTGTTATTCTCGGTGAAACGCTGCTCCGAGCATCTGGAAAAAATATCAAAATAATTTAGCTTTATATGACGACAGATGGTAAAATATAAAATAATGCGAAATGGAGGAGTAAATAGTGTTTTTAAAGTAAGCACAGATGATCGTATTTTTAAAAGTATTTGTGCAGATATTTTTTTTTTTGGTGTTAAAATGTTTAGATTTCTTTTCTTTTATATACTGATGTGTATATATTATTAATTTTATATATTCTAATTTGTTTCCAGAGATCAATAAAATTTTCAGAACATGCTTCGAAACTCATAACGAGTTTGGAGAATTATTTTTCACATTTCAAGTACTTTTGAACTTGTGAAAAAAGTATCACAAACCAAAGCGTCATTACCATTGTCACATGTCAATTTGACCAGAAATGTCACCAGAAACCAATGCATTCTAAGAAAATGGTTACTTGATGAGTATTATAAATTCACGCAGGAAAAATTAACCAATGCATTCTAAGAAAATGGTTACTTGATGAGTATTATAAATTCACGCAGGAAAAATTAACCAATGTATTCTAAGAAAATGGTTACTTGATGAGTATTATAAATTCGCGTAGGAAAAATTAACCAATGTATTCTAAGAAAATGGTTACTTGATGAGTATTATAAATTTACTTAGGAAAAATTAGCCAATGTATTCTAAGAAAATGGTTACTTGATGAGTATTATAAATTCACGTAGGAAAAATTAACCAATGTATTCTAAGAAAATGGTTACTTGATGAGTATTATAAATTCTCGTAGGAAAAATTATTGTACAATATAAAGAATTTTTCCTGCGTGAATTTATAATACTCATCAAGTAACAATTTTCTTAGAATGCATTGGTTTACGGTAATACATGTTTTGCAATTAGTTCATATTTAGTTGAAAATTACGCAGCTATGGTTTTACTAGCTTGATGAAGATTGTATTGCAGCAACGAGTCAATTTTTTTAGTCCATAAAGTATGTATTAAAACTTTTGATTGTCACATTTTTCCCTTATTACGACTATATTAGTTTCGTATCGACATATTCTCCAAGCCATAGAATTCTTCCCCAGTCTTCATCTTTCTCTAAATACATAATTCAATTAAATGATATTTTACCTCAATTTCCAAAGCCAAACTGAAATTCAATCCGAATTTATCTGATTTACATTCGATATACAGGATAAATTTATATGGTAATTAACACTGCAAGCGATGTTCCTGGATTGTTTTACGGTGTTCCTAAAATAAAACACAGGATAAAAAATTTCTACGTAATTTTACTACTGCTCGTTATAAAGGCAAATATATTGTTTTTGATCAAAGTTGTGAGCTTATATAACGAATGAACTGCGTAATCAGTTTCAGGGGCTGGCACGCCATGGCAAACAGAAAATCCTAAGTTAAAAATAAAATACTAATTATATGGATATCCTAAGTTAAAAATGAAACTAAAAAATCTCTTACGGTGATGATCTGGCTAAATACGTGTACCAGTGAAAATAGATAAGCTACGGAAGAGAAAGATTTGTCAGTTTCTAAATAAGGAAAGTATTTTAAATGGGTGATTTTTGACTGAATAAGTTGTAACAAATGTACAAATTCTGAAAAATGGTACTTTCCAAGCTAGAAACTATTTCTTTGCATCGAAATTTAAATAATATTTTGCATGCGCGAAATGAAAATTTAATTTCGCATTTTACTACGCGTTAAACAAATTACTATAACTCAAAAAAGGTCCATTTTTGTTTAATTGTCAAATAATTGAATATGGAAGAATTTACCCCGACCTGCCCATAATTAGGGCATACGGGTAAATGTTTATTAAAACAAAAACAAAATCCAGAAAACAGTACAAACATAAAATACACATCAGACATGGCAACAGCCCATGAACATGGCGGGCGTAGAGCAGCTAAAATCATGTAAGGTGATAAACATATAAAACAGTTGAATAATTGAATAAAGAGTTTCAAAGATATGTGAAATAATTTATCTTCAGATTAATAAAACTCGTAAATTAAATTGAGTTTTTTTTAAATAAATAAAATCATGCTGAAATTTAAAATTAAGATAAAGTCTGGATTTATCTACCTGTGACGAAAAGTTTTCCGGCTGCTGAACTTGGAGCAACTTCTCCAGTAAGACGATTTCTGGTGACGCATCGATAACTTTTGAAGCCATCTTCAATATTTGCATTTCTAATATGTAGCTCGCCCGTTGGGAAAATGCTATATCTTCCACCTAGATGAAATAAACATAATATGCTTATATTATCAATCAATAATGCAAATTTTTATAATTATTCTCTATAATAATCATTTAATTTTTAAAATATTTTAACAAAAGTGATTTATCTCATGCTTATATTTACATAATTGGTAATTGTATTTTGTGATAAGAATGAAAATAGAATATTGCAAATCTAAGCTTGTTTTATGAAATTGAGAAATTTATCCCATATAAAATTGCTTTTTGTCAAATAATAATTGCATAAGAAAAGCAAATGGTGAGAGAAGTATAGGGGAAGACATGGAGTATGGTCAATTAAACATCGAAATCTTAAAATATTTTTTTTCTGAAGTGATCTAATTTGTTATAGTAAGTTGTTGTCCAAATATATATTATCTATAGAAATTCAGCAGAATGTTCGTATAAGCATATTTAAGTATGTATCATAAGCAAATTTGCAATTCTGAACCAATCCTTACCAAATTTGGCGTACAGTGCACCAAAAATGAACCCCCTTTCTAACTTTTGATCTAATGATCGAATCTTCAAGTTCTAGTACTCAATTATGATGGTTTAAGGGGGTGGACTCGAATAAGTTAAGTGCAGACGATATTTCAAGTTACGAAATCAGATAGAAAGACGAAACTACTGCAAAAAACTGGCTTTCTATTTTCTGGTGGCAATAAATTCAGTGATCAAATCAACGAAGTTGAAGAAGATTGGGAAGTCGATCGTAGTCATGACGAATGGTAAATATCGCTAATAAAATAGCTGATGATGACGTATATGATGATAATGAAGATGATGATGAAAAAGTTCATTCGAAAGAGTTGGAAGCTCAAGAAACTATTCGTAATTATTTGCAGTTTACTTCAGCTACTGAAACTCTCTTTTCTTATTTGTATGAATTTGAAAAAAAACTGTTTTTCAAATTCGTAGGAAAAACAAAAACAATCACCTAATATGGATTTTTTTTTGTCAGAAAAAAATGTCATTTGGTTTGTTACAATTTCGTTTCTTTGAACAGTTATATTAAATGCCATTATAAATATTAACTTTTAATGTTTAGAAATTTTTTTATCCATGCTCTGATTGCAATTTTTGGTATGCTTCAGCATTTTAATATGCTTTTCACTTATGCTCCTCTTTCACTTACGTGCTTTTTTCTGTTGGTCCGATAGGCCAACACGTAAGTTGCAGATCACTTGATTATTGAATCTCATCATTTAGCTATTTTGCAAGTGTAAGAAAATGCTTTGGTTATTATTTTATATTATCCTAATAATATTTTTTATGGATGTGGAAAATATAAGATAAAAAGAATATATTAACTTCCTTTTTGTGCTAACAAGTATATGTGGTGCTAAACCAAAAAATTTTATTTATTGGCATATTTTAAAAATGTGAAAAATGAAATTTTTTTGGAGTAATTTTACTGCCTACGAGTCAAAACGGCTATGGACGAATCAAAACTTCGGGTTCTGATGATCTGTAAGATTGGCAATTACTGTTCTGCATTTCATATATTTATCTGATATTGCAAAAATTAATAAATAAATGAACAAAAAACTGCAGGTGTATTCTGGAACTAGATTTGAGGTTGAGATACGTGGCGGATAGGAAACGGAAGCATAATGATCTATTGAACATTTTCAAATTAACGTTTTTAAATTATTAAAGCATATTAAATGTGTTTTTGCTTGTTACATGTTGCCTGTTACAATCAATATTTTCATTTGACATGTCTGTAACTTTAATTTGTTATATTTGTATCAAAAGAAGCCTCTTATAGCAATCAGAAATAGAAAATAAAACATTTCATATTACGCCATTATTATTATTAAGATATCAAATAAAATACTAATCGAGAATACATCTTAATAAAAAGTACAAATATTACATTTTAATTTATTTTCAAGAAAGTAAATTAGATTTTCGAAGAAAAATGAAGATACTTCATTTCTGTTAATGAGTAACTATTAGCTATAATTAGATTCATAACTATTTCTTTTTCGTAATTCTTAAAAAAAAAAATTGTATTCTCAAAGCATAATTTATAATGAAAAACAGATGTCTAGACATCCATGTCTAGAAATCTAATATTCATGAATTATATTAATTATCCAATTAAACCATTATTAAAAAAATATAACATAATTGTGTTATATAATTTTTTTTTACTAAATTAGATTTTAATCAGTTTTGTAAAAAACAAAAATGATTCGTAATTTAAATAAATATAAGTTAAATGCGAATCTTATGACTTTAAACTTTGAATAGCTAAATTCTTGTTAATGTTTCGTCCAGCAAAATATTATTTTTTTCCCGTGACTGTTTCATATCTAAAACATTAAGACAGTTTCTTATACTCAATTTGATTTCTTTACTTGTTATCTGTTTTTCATTAATATCAAGTACTCGCAAATGTGTATTGACCTAGTAAGATAATATCATTTTTATTTATTTTGCCATAGTTACGCTATTTCCAAGAAAAGTAATATTTGCTAAGGAAAACTTCAATTCTAGATCATAAAAATAATTAAACTAATGTAAATAATAAATTGTATAAATTTAAAATTCATTTTTTCACGCTGCTTAAAGAGTGAACGGGCCGATACTCATTCCATATAAAAAATCTGGTGTTTCGCCACTTCCAAATTATGTCAATTTTTAAATAGCTGTGCCACGGATTCCAATTATATATATGTAGGTAGGTATTTTATTTACGTCGCACAGTGGGCTATTAGAGACGGTCAGGGAAACATCCCTGAGGATGATCCGAAGACGTGCCATCACAATTTCGATCCTCTGCAGAGGATTCCACTTTAGGATCCCGACGACTTGCACGCGAATTCGAGTACTTTACTGTAGAAAAGTTTAACGAGGACCGATACTGCGCACCCTTGGCTCCTACATAGTCTGATCAAAGTGGTCAACCACCCGCTAACTGACCGCAGCTAGCGATGCTTGACTTTAGTGTTCTACTGGAAACAGTGTCTTTACTATCAGTCCACTGCGGGAAAATCAATATATATATATATATATATATATATATNTATATATATATATATATATATGAGTAAATGAAATTTCCAAGTTCATAAAATAATCCCTTAATTATGGGAGCAGAGTTGAACTAAAGGCAAATAATTCTTTATAATGGAAATTTCAAATGTTTGTAAAATAATATTATTCAAAGTTTAATTGCTCATTAAATTCAAACTAACAGAACAGGGAAGTAAGAAAACAGAACAGGGAGTGCGGGGAAGCTAAGATTTGACATTTAGTTTGAAAATCGTTAACTGTTGAACTTTGAGGGAAAACATACCATTTTTTTCGATCTGCAGCTCACTGAAATGCAAGTATGGAACTAAAATTTGGCATGCTACCCATTTTATTTATGAACTAAAAGCAATATTTGTTTCTAAATTCCAATTTATGAAAAATTTCAGGTTAATTTAAGTGTTTTTTGTGAAATTTGTTTTTGTCTTTTACTTTTATTAAGAAATATTTTCAAATTGTTGAATTTTTGCATAAAAATTATTTTTCCCTCACAAGATCTTTCTTTTCCTTATTAGTTCATGTTCGAATTGATTCAAAACAAAAGTTGCAGAAAATTGAGAGAGAGAGAGACAGAGAGAGAAATATTATAGTGCTCCCAGATATAAAGCTTAACATTCATATTGAATTTTTAAATAGTAAAAAATTCTTAAGCAGCTATAAAAAACGCCTGCTAATTGAATTGTAGTAAGTCTCACCAATGAGAAAAATGATTTCTCATTATTCCTTCTTACTGAATCACACAATCTGCTTTCCCAAGGCTTGTTTTTTTTTTTTTTTTTTTTTTTTTTTTTTTTTTTTTTTTTTTTGAAATACGAAAGATTCGAAAGATTACTTTTCAAATCTAGGTAATCGTCTATTTCATTACTATTAACATAGTACGAAAATGTTCTTACATCAAGTTATAAAAATTTATATATTTTGAAAATAAGGAATTCTGTGCTGTGAAATATATTGACGTTTTAGAGAAAAATTAACAATAATGAATGAGAAGCAGTGAGGGGGGGAGGACAAGTGGTGGCACCACCTAATTTGAAAAATATGATAAATAAATTTAATATATAATTATAAATTCAGAGCAGATAAACAGTCCTCACTAAAATGCATTAAATCATCAGTAATATTACCATAAATTAAAATATCCACAATATGAATATAGCGGACTTTTCAAAAGCAAAAATTATTCTTCAACTGAAATGAATAAAGTTTATAGCATAGATATAAATTTAGATGCTATGCAAACAATCGGTTTGTTTCATTAGAAAAATCAATCTTACCTTTATCAGGTGATGCAACAATTGTTCTTGAATCATCGCGTACCCATGAAGTAACAATAACATAGTCTTTCATGAAGCTTGGGATACTACATCTCATCACAGCTGTGTTTCCACTCACTGTATATTCATCAAATACTTGAATTTTGTAAGGCTGCTTGACCACTGGTAAAAAAGGGAAAATTGTTACAATTTAATCATCGTAAAGAATTGTATATATTCATTTACCATAGAAATATCATAATTATTCTGATTTCTAAAGTAAATTACATTTTTTATGCATATGTTACGATCAGTATGAATAATCGGTTTATTTTTCAAAGCAACTGCTCATTGATAATAATAATCGAATATGAAGGTTGAGCTAAGTTATGAGAGTTTATCCCGTTGAAGATTATCAGTATATTTCCTACGTTAATATTTTCTTACAAATTAGAAGTCATTGTCACTGAAAAGTGTGTAATTACTTTTTAATGGATGTACATCAGTGATTTGAGTGATTGTCATGCTAGAAGCAATCTAAATATTGAAAACTGAAAGCATATTGCTTAAGTAAAAATTAATCGAATTAAAGAAGGGAGATAGTTTTAGATATTTTTTTTAAAATAATTCTTACTCTAAAATTTACTCTTTACCCCTCTAATTTAAATTTTCGAAAACACTTTTTTAAGTTATAGTATTTAATGTATCATTTCATTTTCCTTAAATATGGCCTTATAATTTAATATCATATTTAGATTAGGCTTGAAATTTGATTACATTCAATTTTATACTATTTTTTAAACTAACTTTAGTTGGCCCAATATTGTAAATTGCAATGACTTTTAAAAATCTTGGCCTTTTAATAAAAAGAAAACTACATATTTACTCATGCTTTTTAAGACATTTTGTAAAGAAACTGTTGCATTGATCATGGCTTAGTAAATTTTATGCTCTATGATTCTTTCGAACTATATACAAATTTACTTTAAATAATTCTAAATAATTCTTAATATACAGTGTCAGTAAACAAAAATTGAAGTAACAATGTATCAGAGAAGCGCGTGTTTTCCAAAATATTAAACATTATTGTATTAAAAAACAAACACTTTCCCTGCGAAGGAAAATTTAAATAAATGCATTTTACGCAAAACAAATATGAAGAGAAGGGTAAGCTGGTGATAAATGTATGCTTCCTGTTCTTGTTTTTTATTTAATTCACCAATCACGTTTCGTAAATTCTTTTTCTTCCAAATCTCCCAAATACATCTGAATTTCAAAACACTTGTGTAAAGAATACTAATTCAGGATGAGTCTAATTTTGAGAAACAATATATATTTCCCGTGACTGTTTCATATCTAAAACATTAAGACAGTTTCTTATACTCAATTTGATTTCTTTACTTGTTNCCATGGGTGGCTTTCGTGGTATATATATATATATTCTTTAATGAAATAGAAACTAGAATCTTAGCCTCAAGCATTTTTTTCTTTCACAATGAACAGAACTGGCGTTGATGCAATTATTCTCAATTTTTTCGATGATGGATAAAGTAATGGCCTCGAATTTCAATTGTAATTGACAATAAAATATTTTTTTAAAATTACTAAACAAGTAATAAATGATATTTTGTTCTAAAATTTTTTGGTCTCTGAAAAAAAGAAGGAAAAAACGAAAATTCAAACAAATTTCATTTCTGAAACCTAAAGTTATTTCAAATTATTCGAAACACTGCTCTGTAGTTTCAGTGAAAGTTTCAGAAGGACCAACCAAATTTCTTGTTTTCTTAAATAAATGGTTTTTATTGTAACGTTTTCAATGCTAATTCTAACTCGATTTAAAAAATCAATTAAAAAATTTTTAAATTTTTTCATCATAAATCGATTATATTTTTCTTCATAAATATTATGAAGAAAAAAACAGAATTTTTAATAATCAAGTATTTTACCTTTCTAATACTTTCTTCCTTGCCATACCGATATTAATAAATCTCTATTGCATCAAAATTAAAACCTGTTTTTCTTATTTCTTAATTACAATGCAAAATGAAAGAAATTTATTATCATAATATTAACGTTTATCTAATTAGAAAGCTTCACACTAAAACCTAATACGTACGTGTATAAAAAACACGCAGACAGTTTTTTTCTTTCATATTTCTTTGTTTATTTTCCTCATTTGATTAAAGGAATTTATTTCAAAAAATCTCAAAAGCAGCAACAAGGTCTTTTGTTCATAATAAAACCTTATAGGAAGTAAATAAGACCGACTCGATTGTTCGAGAAATTTCCCACAATCCCAAAACTTGCGCACCAATTCCATTCTAATGTTTGCAGACAAAAACATCTAATTAAGGAAGCAAGTTTAAATGCAAAGAAACGCAATTAAGCCCGGATTTCTCAGTTTTCTCAGTTCTATTTCTCAAATAACAGCAGCGAACAGAGCAATTAAAAAGAGTCCCTAATTAGAGAGACAAATAAGTTTTTTATTCTTATTTTATTTGATTTGCTTTCGAAACAAATCAAGACATCTTACTATGAAGCGGATTGGTCGGTACATAACATAGAAGAACGTTATAAATTGCATTTGCTTCTTCTAAATCCTTTTGATAAAGTATTTTCTTTGGCGCATTATTTTGGTGGAAAAAAGAGAAAACGGAAGGAAGAGAATGATACGAGAAAAAGAAGAAAAAAACCTTTATGCAGCTCAAAATGATGAGGTAGCACTAAGTCTTTGTTCTTTTGAAAGACTTAGTCCCAATTATAATCAATTTGAAGGAAAACTCTTGCAATATGCCTCGTCTTATTTTGATGAAAATAATGAATTTGAAAGCAGGTTTATCATATACAGATTACGTTTTCACATGAAAATATTTTTTTTTCTATGATGCTTACATTTATTAAAGACTCATTTATGAACGCTAGCATAACTAAAATATTTTTTGGAAAGAATATATTTAAGTAAGAATTTTTTTTATATATTCTTGAGTTTTCCTTATTTTTTATATTTCAGTTTTTATTACAGCTTAACGAAATAAGTTCTAGTTTAAATTTTGCAAACTACAATTCATAATTTTAAAAATTAATCCAGGGTCATTTTCCAGCCTCATCTCCATTTAGACCTTAAATTTTTTCTATTTTACATTCGCTTCACGTTTTGGGTAAGGTCATTTAGAAAATAAAAAAGTAATATTTATTGAAATTAATTTTAGTAAACTTTAAAGGTAGAATAAATCTAACGTATTTCAGCAGAAAATTGATTAACTTAAGCATGATTATTATTGAGGTTTTTTTTATCGAATATCTAAGCGATTTTAATATTACATGACTTCTTGTTTAAAACTTCTTCTTCTTCTTCGTTTTGTTTTGATATTTTTCGCTGAAAAGAATAGCCCCAATGTTTCCTTTGGAAAATATTAAACTTTCTACTTAATATTAGTAAATATTTTTAATTTACTTTTCAATTTATTTAGCCTAGAAGAGTTTACTGAGCATTAAAAATATAAGATTTCCTACATTTTTCTAAACATTAAAACAAGTAATCATTTCAAAATTATTATATACAACTAATTACCATTTTTCTTGTTAAATACTACTTTGAGTTTATAAATAACGTTTATAATTTTTTTAGCTTGCTACATCAATAATATGGTTCAAATTAGCTGTAACATGAGGACTGTAACTATGATGACACAATACTACAGCTCACAAACTACGAAATATTCCGGATCAAATCACGTTAAAAAGTACCAGCACCCTGGGTGATGGTACTTTTTACCGTGAACTAGAATATCTGTTTTACAAGAATATCCGTAATACCGTTTGCCGGTTTCCTTAAACTTCATTTTCACATGAACATGCTCAGGAACAAAAAAAAACTGTTATACCGAATTTTCACTGTATTAATCATTGTTAAATCACTGAATAACTGTAATTAAATAAATATAACTGTAGTAATCACTTTGTTATATTTCACAGGGGAAGATTGATTTTATGAATAAGGCCATAGAACTGCCGTAAATTTATACCGTAATTTGATCCAGAAATGTTTACTGTGCCGAACGGAAACGAGACCTTAATTAAAGTAACAACAAGTTAGAACCACAATGTAGCTCAAGGTACAGTCAATACGATTCAGGGCAGAACAAATTTTCCTAAGTGTGTAGTTATGAAATTGTTTGCAAATATATATTTAAAATGTTAATAGGAAATAAAAAGTTTCAGAAGCTAGCTTTAAATTTTAATGCTTTAAATAATAATTATATGTTTACAGAACTATCCCTACAGTCATAATTTAGCTCATTCCGGAATTCCAGTTAACATGATTGCAGAAAAAATAAGAGGTATTTTTGAAATTATAAATGAAAATCATAATAACGGCATCGCAGCATGTTTTGAGAGCTAACTGAACAAAAATTAATGACAAAAAAGTCAGGCTCAGGGTTTTATAAAAAGCTTGAAAATACTATTAAAAGTCCATTTCAAGGCCTAAGTGGCTGATGGGACTGAGCATTCGCTTCCTATTGGGATCCTAGTTTTAAATCCAAGTAATTTCCAATTGATACAAATTCTGCTCCTGGCTCGCACTGACAACAGTACTCACAGAACGTATTCCCTATGGTAGACTGATAATGGGTTGAAATCCCCCTTCCTTCGGTCTAACCATGGGTGGCTTTCGTGGTTTTCATCTCCATCTAACGAATGCGAGCCGAATTCAATGCTAGTTGGTTCAATCAAAAAGTTCACCACTAAAGACAGTTTGTCTCAATGCGTGATAAAGGAGTTACTTTGTCTTTTTGGTCGGGCTCAAAATTACAAGGGTAGGGAGTTGAACATTAAAAATCGTAAAATCAGAATTTGGTCGGCTGTTCAACATCGGTCATATAAATCAAATAAATTTTATTTTTCAGATGTAATATAGTTTAATACCTGTTTACTCGTAAAATAAGTATTTCATTTAAAAATAGTATGAAAGAAATAAAGAATTTCTAAACATTGTCAAGACTCATTAATTTTCAATATAGCTTTTGATTTCCTTTCCACACATAAGGTTTGTTAACATACAATATCTGAAACAAGGATTTTTTGTATGCAGCTAGTAATCAGATAATAATATTTTTTAATTATCTGAAAACAGCAGTTATTTTTAATTTATTTTAAAAATATTTTTAGCTGGTTTTTAAATA